TCCTTCCTTCCTTCCTTCCTTCCTTCCTTCCTTCCTTCCTTCCTTCCTTCCTTTCTTTCTTTCTTTTAATGACATTTTTTATTCTAAGTTCCTTCTCTTTAATTTTTTTCTGAAATCACATTTAAAAAACAATAATCAGGGCTGGGCATGGTGGCACACACTTCCAATCCCAGCACTCAGAAGGCAGAAGCAGGTGGATTTCTATGAGTTCAAGGCCAGCCTGGTTTACATAGTGAGTTGGAGGACAGCCTGAGTTATGTAAAGAAACCATCTCAAAAAAGACAGAAGATGAAAAGAAAGACAAAAAAGAAGGAAGAAAAGGGAAAAAAGGACAAAAAAGAGAAGAAGCTAAGGTAGAATATGGGAAACAATCAATGTAGCATCAGAACAGAAAAATCAACAAATTAAAATTGACCTCCCTGCACTGTGAGCTTCTTGGCAGATGGCAATCAAGTAGATTTCTCTAATATGATTTGAAAAGACCTTATCCTTAATTCTCTCATATATAATAATGATCTAGAAACCTATGAAAATATTTTTATTTTCTAACTATTGTAAAACATATAAGAACAAAATTTATCCATAAGTCTTCTTTAAAATAGCTTTTAGTAAAATGAATTGTTTGATCAAAGGGCTTTTACAATGTATTATATCGTATTTTATATTCATCATATCAAGAGATAGAGCCAAACTAATTTTAAAAAGTTATATTATTAATTTTCATTCCTCTATTTTCACTATTCTAATTTTAAAATTTCAATGAAACTTTTAGTAAAAAAGATCTCATTTTTTAATATGCATTTTCAAATGATTTGATTTGTTAAGTCACTTAAGCAACAGAGGCTAGGTGTAGTCTTAGATTTTTCAAACACCTACTTTATTCAAGGTTTTTAAATGCCCCTACCTCCCTTCCAACCCCTGACCTTAGGTGGGACATTAGTAGGGAAAGGGGTTGTAGACCTCTTTTATCTACTTCCTGCTGATTAGTGTTGTCGGGTCCTTTAGGGATATACCAATCTCAGTCATCAAAATACCAGCAGTCCAGTCAAATAGCAAAGCAGCAAACTTCAGCAACAGAATCAACCAGCAAGCAACAGCAGTGGTACTGCTCAGAAGAGCAGCAAGACTGCCCAAATGGCATGAGTCAGCCAAAATGGCAAAACTCTGCCAAAGCAGCATGAGAAGTTCTCTGAGGAGTTTTTCTCTGCAAAAACCAGCAAAGTGATCTGAACAATTGCAAAGCACAGTGATGAAAAGAGTGTTGTCTCACTGTCTGTGGATTTTCTATTTATCTTTTCTCATGGTCTGCATGAGGATGTTTTCCAGCTCTCTAAAATCACACCCCTCCCACAAGGTAGTTTCCAGCTGACAAATATCATGTGCCTTTCAAGGGGGCTTTGTGTCTGTGTGTGTGTGGGGGGGCATTCCCACATTCCACACTTGGGACCAAAAACATATTCACTTGACACAAATGAGTTTCCAAAGAAACCAGAAACTTCCACTTCAGCTAGGTATGTTTGTTGGGGGACATGTGGCAATGTAGATTAGAGAGAATTACCATTCTTAGCACTTTATGCAAGGGCAGTAGATATGTATGGACTAATAGAAAGACAATGGAGGTGTTGCCCATCTTCCCCAGATCTCAGAAAAGCTGGGTGTGCCTCAGGAGCTAAGGAGAGAGCAGTTTTGCCAGGGAGTTGCAGTAGATACACTAGCAACAACGTGACGCCACTGTGCAATATACTATTATCTGGGGAGGTAGCCACAGAGCTACTCCTTTCAGTGTCTTAATTGAGCCAGACATGGCACATCAAGCGGCCCAGCTTGGACTGAATGGATGTGTGCTGACATAATGAACAGTTCTTTCCTCCATTGCATGACCCTGCCCATACCCCAAAGCCTGCTGGTTTTAGTCCCCACCAGAAGCAGTTTCTTGATCACGTCTTAAAAAGTGGTATTGCTTTGGGAGGTTACTGAATAGCTCATTTCCAAAGAGCTATTCAGTAACCAGGGTGATGGTGGACGGTAAATTATGTTGTTTGTATTAATATCTTCCACTGGTTTGGAAAATTATTTTGGAATAGTTGAGAATCCCAAGGAAAAGACTAGTGGTAAGGACATTTTATAATTGTTTACAGTTCCAACATAGTGTGAATTTATTCTTTTGTAGCTGGGATGTCAAATACAATAAGTAAAATATTTTATCAAAATGAATGGTTGTCTCCCAAGAAAATCATTAATTCACTGGTGTTTAAGATATTTAAGGTTGACTAATGTTTCCAATGCTATTCTTATTATTCTTCCTCAAAAATGAAAATCTATGCTTACGTATAAAATTTAAAACTAAGTTCAATGTAGGTTCTTAAATATACCTAACTTTGTGAATAGTAGAAATTAATTTGTTCCGATTCCATTTACATGTTTGGGATATATTTTCTATTGTAGTATTTGAATTTGTCGAACTATTTTGAAGTCTTAGAAAAAGATTTCTGAAAGTGTTTGAACGTAGTCTATTCTACTAATAAAAACTGCAAGCCTGACATTTCTCAGTGAGAGTACTCATCAGACCATCATAACTCATTTTAGACATGTGACACATCAAACATGATTTAAATAGAATCACTTAAGCAGAGATTGTTTATCAAAGATTAGATGAAGTAACAATACAAGTCCCTTCTAGCTACCAGATGGGTGGAGAAAGAGGGCGGAAAAGAACTACTCTCTTAATTGTGCTTTTTACATAGATTAAAAACAACTTTTTTATTCAGGACTGCTGTCACTATTCTAAGAAATGACAGGGCTGCTCAATAGTCCCATTTCTAAAGTTATTTGAGGAAGATCAGTGAGATGCAGCGGGAAGGCAAATTGAAAACCTGGGAACGTCAGCGCTGAGAACCTGACATCACGGTTTCACCCCAGGCTGCCAGAAGAGGAGGTTCGCTCTCTAATGTTGACTCTCTCGTAGCATAACATTAGACTTTCTACAACAGTGTCCAAATGAAGACAGTTCCGTGAGGAAATTGTATCATTTTTGTCTTTCACTTTTAATAGTACAAATACATAGCTCAAAAGTTCTCTTAAGAGTTGCTGGAATCTTCTTTCCGCTTGACATGGTAGGTCTTGCTTTTAAACGAGCGCTGATAAGATTATCAGAAGCATGGGCATTTTAACTGTTCCATTCTTAGAAACACTAAGAAGTACACTACTGAATGAAATGTCATTACTTCCTAGACTTCTAGATATTATTTCTCTTTAAGCGTTCATTTAAGAAACATGGAGTTGAATTTTTCATAGTGCTATATTCTTGAAGTTTG